CCTTAACTAGACTAAGAAAAAGAAGAATCAGAAGTGAAAGGGGTGCCTGGGGGGCTGAGTCAGTTAAGTGACCTACTTCAGCTCAGGTCATGATCTTGTGGTTTGTGAGTTTGTGCCCCACATTAGGCTCTGTGCTCATGGCTTGTTCAGAGACTGCAGCCTGCTTCAGATTCTGTGTCTCCCTCTCTCTGCCCCTCCCATGTGTGCACTCTCTGTCTCTCAAAAATAAACATTAAAAAAATTTAGAAGTCAAAAAGTAGACATTACTCCTAGTAACACAGAAATACAAGGACAATATGCTACTATAAACAATTTTAACTTAAAATTCTTAGAAACATAGAATCTACCAAGACTGAATCATCAAGAAACAGAAAATCTGAACAGACCAATGATGAATGACAGGATTGAAACAGTTAATGGAAAGCTTTCCAACATAGAATACACCAGGAGCAGATGACTTCATAGGTGAATTCTACCAAACATTAAAAAAAAAAAAATTAATACCAGTCCTTCTCAAACTCTTCTTAAAAATAGGAGGTAATACTCCAAAACTAAACTTTACTTTGTGAGGCCAGCATTACCCTCATACCAAAGCCACATTAGGACACTGTAAGAAAATTACAGGTGAATATCCCTACAGATAAATATATACGCAAAAATTCTCAACAAAATACTAGCAAACCAAATTCTACAGTACATAAAAGGATCATACACCCTGATCAAGTGGGATACCAGAGTAGATCAATATATTGATGCAAAATACTAAATGTAGTAAATAAAATGGTAAAAATCTTGTGATCATCTCAAGAGATGGAAAAGAAGCATTTCAAAAGATTCAACATCCATGCATGTTAAAAACACTCAAGAAATTGGCTAAAAAAGGAATGCATGTCAACATAACAAAGGCCATATATAAAGAACTCAATGGTGTAAGATTGAAAACTTTCTTCCTAAGATCAGGAACAAGATGAAAGTACTCACTCTCCACTCCTATTCAGTATAGCACTGGAAGTCCTACCAGAGCAATCAGGCAAGAAAACTAAGTACAAGACATCCAGATTGGAAAGAGAGAAGTCAAACTATCTCTGTTTATGCAAGATAAGATCTCATACAGAGAAAATCCCTGAAGACTCTACCAAAAGACCGCTGGAACTAATCAACAAAGTAAGTAAAGTTGCAGGATATAAAATTCATGTAAAAAGATTAGTTGTGTCTATACACTAACAAAAAAAAAAAAAACTATCTGAAAAAGAAACACAATTCCATTTACAATAGCATCAAAATATATAAGAATATCTTTAATTCAGGAGTGAAAGATATGTACAACATCCTGCCATTTGTGAAGACATGAATGGAACTTGAGGAAATTTGTCTGAGAGAGACAAAATGTATGGTATCAGTCATATGTGGAATCTAAAAAAGCCAAATTCATAGAAATGGAGTAAAATGGTTACCAAGGGATGGGAGCGTGAAGGGGAAGGACAAATATTGTTTGAGGCCACAAACATATGAGTAGTAAAAAAAGTTCTTAGATCTCATGGGAAGTGTAGTAAATACAGAAAACAATGGTATTATAACCATTATTAAATGGTATTGTAACAAACTTGCTAAGAGACTAGAACTTGATTATTCTAATCACTAAAAAGGAGTATAATAATGTAAGGTGATAGAGGTAATAATGTAAGGTAATGATTGTTGCTATGGCATTTATATCACAATATATAAATGTATCAAGTTAACATTTTGTAAACTTAAATTTATAATATGTCAAATATATTTCATTTACAAAATTTAAGACCCTAATGAAAAAAATTGAAGACACAAATAAATGAAAAGATATCCTGTTTCTGCATCAGAAACATTAATGGTGTTAAAATGTCCATACTACACAGAGCCATCTAAAGACTCAATGCAAGCCCTATCAAAATTCCAATGACATTTTTCGTAATAAGAGAAAAATGATCCTAAATTTTGTAATAACAAAAGACTCTGAATCACCAAAGGAATCTTGAGTAAGAACAAAGCTGGAGTCATTATACTTCCTGAATTCAAACTTTATTACAAAGCTGTTGTGATCAAAACAGTACAGTACTGACATAAATATAGACACATAGAAGAGTAGAACAGAATCTAGAGCACAGAAGTTAAGCCCTTGAATATATGGTTAACTAATATTTGACAAGGGAATCAGGTAGAATCAATGCAGGAAAGATAGTTTCTTTGATAAATGGTGTTTGGAAAACTAGACTATAACATGCAGAAGAATGAACTTGACTCCTGTCTTATACCACTCCCCAAAATTAACTTGAAATGGCTTAAATTATTATACTCAAGATCCCAAACTGTAAAACCACTGAAGGAAACACAGGGAAAATGTTTCTTAACATGGGTCTCGGCAGTGATTATTTTGGATGTGACAACAAAATCACAAGCAACAAAAGCAAAAATGAACAAGTAGAACTTTGTTGAATTACAAAGCTTTTGCAAAACAAAGAATCAGAAAAAAAAGGCAATCGACAACATAGTAGAAAATAGTTTCAAAATCATCGATCAGATAAAGAGTTAATATAAAAAATATAGAAATGATACACACAACTCAACAGCAAACAACCAAACAACCTAATTAAAAAGTGGGCAGAGGATGATAGACATTCTTCCAAGTAATACATACAGATGGCTAAGAGGTACATGAAAAGGTGTTCGACATTGCTAATAATCATCAGAGAAATGCCAATAAAAGCCATATTAAGATATTATTCCGCACCTGTTAGAATAGCTATTATCAAACAGACAAGAGACAACAAGTGTTGGTGGGGATGCGGGAAAAAGGGGAACACTTGTGCACTACTTTGGGAATATAAATTGGTATGGCCACCATGGAAAACAGTATGGAGTTTCCTCAAAAAAATAAAAAACAATTTTACCATATGATTTAGCAACTGCACTACTAGGTAATATATAAAGAAAATGAAAACAGAATCTTGAAGAGGTATTTGTAGTTTCATGTTCATTGCAGTATCATGCACAACAGCCAAGATATCGAATTTACCTATATGTGTATCAAAAGGTGACTGGATAAAGAAAAGGTAGTGTAGATACAAAACAATGGAATATTATTTAACCCTGTGAAAGAAGGAAATTCTGCCCTTTATGACAACATGGATGGACATTATGCTAAGGGGATAAAGTCGGAAGGACAGACACTTTTTTTTTTTTTTTTTTTACCATCAAACATAATTGACAGTTTAATTTCAGGTGTATGATATCATGATTCAGTAAGTCTGTATACTTCTCAGTGCTTATCAAGAAAAGTACACTTTTTATCCCCTTTTTCTATTTCCCCTTTGACCATACCCACCTCCCCTCCGGCAGCCACCATTTCTTTATACTTAAGAATATTTTTTTGTCGTTGTTGATGTCTTTCTTTGTTCATTTGTTTTATTTCCTAAACTCCACATCTGAGTAAAATCATATGGCATTTGTCTATGACTATTTCAGTTAACATAATACTCGTCAGGTTCTTTATGTTGTCATTTATGTGCAGAATCTAAAAAAGCCAACCTCATACACACACAGTAAAAGGGTGGTTGCCAGGGGCTGTGGGTGGCAAAAATGAGAACGTGCTCAAAGTGCGTGCAAACTCCCAGCTATAATATCACTAAGTCTGGGGATCTAGTGTATAACATCATGACAATAATTAGCAATACTGTATTAGATACTTATAAGTTGTTAAGAGAATAAATCTGAAATATTACCATCCCTCCCCCATATTAAAGGTGAGAGGATGAAGATTATTGTGCTATTTACAATATATGCTTGTATCTAGTCATCAGACTATACACCTTAAACTTTACATATATTACGTGTTAATATTTCAACGAAGCTGAAGAAAAATGAACTTAAAAAATTTACGAAAAAAGAATGTAATTAAATCTAAAAGAAGTTATTTCAAGCAAGGGCAGGATAAAGATGAACTGATGAACTGTATGCAGTGGAAAATATTCACCAGTTAATACTCATGTCCTGCTGACTACATTGTGTATCATTTATTTACAGCAGAAAAATTTCCTCCTTATTTAGTTAACCTCAATTGTGCCTTAATTCTCAGTTAGGAATCATTGGGAATGAATGCATCCATCTTTCCAAGGAAATTGCCAATTACTTTATTTGAGCATGTTGCTGATTTGAACAAAACTAGAGTTCATTACTAAGGAAAACTAAGGTAATTAGCGACAGCCTTAGAAATCATTCCTCTATTTTACTCCTATAACATTTAGGAGATTTTAATTTTTATTAAAACAGACCTTGGAATTTTATGGTATTAAATAAATTGACATTCCTCAATGAAACATTTTCTACATTTGTTGTGTCAAAGAACTATACAAACAACCTGGTAACTTGCAAATAATTAAACGTATTATTCCTTAAATACTTAGGTTTTAATTGACTGTACAAATCCTCTATTTCAAATAATTCTATAAGCAAAAATTTAGCAGGCAAAGTAATGTCATTGCTAATGTACCTAATACTGTATTCTCTTTGATAATAGTTTAGCACAATAATGGTGCAATTATATTTCTAAGCTGACATAGAGTGCACTCATTATTTTTTCCGAAAATCACACTGGGATTAATCATTTAATAAGCTCATAATAGCTTGGCTGATGGAATATTAAAAGTGTTGAATAATTTAATTTGAATGAATTCGTGGATTATATCACTCAGGAAAACTATTAACTATATATATAGGTCATTCGAAAATGCTACTGTTGAAGTTTCAGCAAGAATTGTTTTAAAAAACATTTAGTATTGGAAAAGTCAGGGCTTGTGGTAAAGACAAGAGTGATGGAATTCTTCATTCTTAGGATTTGCTCTGGTTAAGAAGGTTGAAAGATCTTTTTCGGGATTTTAAAAATGAGAAACCCAGATGTCTCTCCGCTTTGGTCAACCTAAAAGGTGTGGCATAGGGTGCGAGAGAAGGAAGGGACCCCGTTATAACAGTCCTATTTTGTGACGGATTATGACCCAACCATCGAGGATTCCTACATAAAGCAGTGTGTGATAGATGAGAGAGCAGCCCAGCTAGATATTCTGGATACGGCAGAACAAGAAGAGTTTGGAGCTCTGAGAGAACAGTATTTGAGAGCTGGCTAGGGTCTCCTGTTGGTCTTTTCAGTCACAGATCGAGGCAGTTTTGAAGAAATCTTCAAGTTTCAAAGACAGATTCTCACAGTGAAGGATCGTGATGAGTTTCCAATGATTTTAACTGGTAATAAAGCAGATCTGGATCATCAAAGACAGGTAACACAGGAAGAAGGACAACAGTTAACACGACATAAGGTAACATACATGGAGGCGTCAGCAAAGATTGCGATGAATGTAGATCAAGCTTTCCATGAACGTGTCCGGGTTATAAGGAAATTTCAAGAGCAGGAATGTCCTCCTTCACCAGAACCAACACGGAAAGAAGAAAAGAAAGGCTGCCATTGTGCCTTTTTCTAAGAATCCCTTGAATTTTAGCTACCAACTACCAGGAAAAGCCCTCATCGTCTCCTCTTCCACTTATGGT